CTAATCAGATACTTAGCACTTTTTTGTGCCTATTTGAGTTCCGTTTCCCGCAATTTGCGGTCGCGAACTGTGCCTTTAATCTGTCAATGGTAATGTATGACATTTGCCCGCTCCCGCCTCAGTTCCCTGCAACCCAGATTTGCATTCTTTCTGTCAACTTGTGGAAAAGTTCCGCGTCCAAAGAGACCAATATGTAAATGGCGCCGACATCCCACTTGCTTCGGACAAGCCTGCATTCTCGAGGGATAAGGCACAATGTTGGAAGCTTCGCCTATTCGTAAGTTGCCTGATGGCTGATATGAGTACATCAACAGCGTTGGAGGATATATTCGGTAAAACATCAGCTCATGCAACAAAAAAGCCAAATCCCAAAGTTCTAAACCGTTTACGGCCTCCCGATCACACCAAAAGGTTCAAAAAACCTTATCATAAGCGGCACGAAACAGGATAAGGAGCAGTGAAGGAAGCGATGACCACAATTATACCAGAAATGCGCGTTTCCAAGATGAATGAACAAGAAATGAAGTGAACATTGGAGCTCACCTGCACGCTGGTCTCTTCGGTCCTTTCAACGTCGCTGTGTGCTTTGACCTCATCGTCACGACTCCGTGAAATCACCACGTTCGGCACATTGGACGTGCCCTCATCAGGTTTTCGTCTTCTGAAACAGGGAAAGAGTCGGTAAAATGCACATCATTACATTAACATAGTCGTTTCCGCTGCAGATGCAGGGGGTGTCAGGGGTGCGGGTTTGGGGCCACGCCAGCTCGTTTTCCACCAGCTCTTGTCGCTTTTCCCCCTTCAACAATAGGTGGAGAGCGGGTTGGCGCCACGCCAAAGCCGGCACTCCTGATAAGCTCCAGCGTTCTACAGCGAGAACGACTGTAAATAGTCAAAGGCACAGTCCAGACCAATCGAATGGCTAGAACCACTTCTACCATTGTACCCTTTCCAACGATGAGAAAGGGGATACGCAATGATAAGGAATGAACAATGGAAGGTCTGACTCCGCCCATGCTACCAATGTAGACCATGTCTTTTACTTCGTATTCACATACCGCCTTTCATGAGGAATTTCATGGAACGAAGACGCTGAGTAGACCTTCGACTCCGTAGCGCCATCATCATGATGTGCTCGGACAGGAATGCCACCTGAAAATGTCCGATTAAAAGCGCAACAAGGAAAAATCGAGCGATTTCGAGGCAGAATGATAAAGGGCAAAAAGGCTAAACTTAAACACAAAAGCTGAGCGGTCTGAGCAATAATTGCTGAGAACTGGAAAAAGTCACAATTAGTACCTTTGAATTCTCTGGCAGGGCTTTCAGACGCCGTTGTTCGTAATTTCCGTCGTCGATGTCGCTTATCGTCAAGGTCGTGCATGCTCATTTGTTCGATATTTACAGCCGTATTCGATTTTTGTAAGTGATACCGACCACTACTGAAAAATAACCATTCTACTGAACTGCTTAACAACACTCGAAAAAAACTTCCCCTTGCGGATATTATTCTGACCTGAAGATAAGCAAAAAATTAAATTACAAAAAGGCTCTAATGATTGAAGTATTATACATATGGTCAAAACAGCAAAAAGAAATGCTTGGAAATGCTACAAATCTATCCCTTAACCTAATAATTTTACAACATGGTACCAAGCGTTTGTAAATCTACCCCTGATCAAATGACATACAACCAGAAGAGCATTTTTCTACGCGCGAAGCATCCGCGGCATTCTAGGCGAAAGAGCACCTAATACTACAAAAAACAGGCTAATCAAAAAGTTCAAATATATTACTTTTTAGAGAACGTGTTCCTTGAGAGGGTCCCGTTAGGACTTCGAGAATGGCTGATTTTCCGTCGGCCCGGTAGACTGATCGTGTCGAAACGTTGCATTTCATGACGACTACTGAAATAAGGAACTCTGCGACTACTCGTCCGAGTTCAGGTCGGATTAGGTCTGTAGAAGTGTAATGAGGACAGTGAACAAATAATAAGGAAAGCGGACAGGTCTGCATAGAACTTCACAAGTTAGAGCAAGCTTAAAGCCACAAGTAATGCGAATAATGAGCAGCTTATGGTACTTGACGTATACGAAATGAAAACCTACCAGAGACAGAGTTATAAGCATATAGCTGATTTTAATTTACGTATGGAACTGCAGTCGTTGGATGGCTTACAATCAAGAAGAAGAAAAAGAAATTATCAACAATCCAACACTGGACGAGTTCACGACAGAAGTACACCGGGAGACGAGAGAACAGACAACAAAGCGACGAGAAGGACGAGACAGGAAAGAGACAACAGATAAAAGGGCATCCACCAGCCATGTTGTATTGGAAAGGAGCGACGATGTGGAAGGATATAGTGCTGTCAGGTTCTCAAAGATTAATGCTGTGCATATCAACTTATGTTTCCTTTCTCGTGCCCAGGTTTAGTCCCCTTCGGGTCGTTAGAGGAGCTGTTTATATCCGACTTGCACGAATCTCAATGAATGTTATTCAAATGTGTTTGAGTTATTGGTAGAGCACGCCGCTAAGGTTATCAAGACCTTCTTTATTCGGCAGGCTTACCGGGCTTTTGAAGCTACATGAGCCTATGCTACGAGACTTGGAGCCGCGAAATCGGTGCGTGCTCGGCTATTGCGGGCCTGTCTATATGTAAGTTAAAGAGATTCTGTCTTTCAGCGAATA